ATTCATGCTAAACCCATTTCTCTCCATAGGACTTATATCTCAACATCCTATCTTTTAACTTTCCCCACTCCTTTCTGGTTCCAGAATCAAGATTTTCTCTATTAGTGTTGCTTGTAATGATTTGGATTCCCCATGATTTAGGCCACTACCAAATTGAGGAATTTATTGTTCAGTCATCTTAAATGTCATTTGGAACAAGGTGGGATATGAATTTAAAATGTTAACCATATCTAGCCCTGGCCAGTTTGGCTTAGCGGTTAAAGCATCAGCCCACAGACCAATGAGTCGCGGGTTCGATTGTGGTCAAGAGCACATGCCTCAGTTGTGGTTTGGTCCCTGGCCCTGGTCTAGTCATGCAGGAGGTAGCCAGTTGATGTGGCTCTGTCACATTGATGTTTCTCTCTGTCTCTCTCTCCCTCCTTCCTTCCATCCCACTCTATCTGATGATAAATAGAAAAATCCTCGGGTGAGGAATAAAAAATGTGTTAACATATCTAGTATCTTTTTGTTGTTAATGCTCACCCAAGGATATTTTTTCTATTGATTTTTTAGAGAGTGGAAGGACAGGGAGGGAGGAGGGCAGGGGGAGAGAAAGAAACATTGATGTGGGACACATCAATTGGTTGCCTCCCGCACATGCCCCATAGGGGCTGGGGATGGAACCTGCAACCCTCTGGTGTGTGAGCTGATGCTCTAACCACCGAGCACCACTGGCCAGCACTAGTATTACCTTTGTAAAATAAGGGTTTCTCCCTCTATATATGTTACAGTATGTTCCAGAATTCCTAATATATGTCATGTGTTAGCTTTCTTTGATTTCATGTTGAATTAATATGGAGCTAACTAATCTTATTTTTTATGAGAGTTAATCCTCTAGTCAGACTACTATTTACTATAATGTTTGCAAAACTCCTTCATTTTGGATCTTTATGGGAATGATGAAGACTGGTTGTTAGAAAATTAAGTATTTGATTTCTACCTTTTTTTCTTGGTCTCCTTTTTCTTCTTCCCTATAGCCTGATCATCCGACACACACACACACACACACACACACACACACACACACACTCATTACAGTTGGTATTTATTTAATCCCTTTTCTCATTGATATGAAAGAATTTTGGCTTTCTTTTTGCTATTCATTTAATACTAATGTTGACAACCAAAACTAGAAAAAGAAACCGTTAAAGTTATTGTGTTCTTATCCTGATACTTGTTTTCTGCTTTTATAGCAGTTTGTTGAATTGATTAAGGGATATTTTAAATTGTAATTTTAAGCCTGTCATTTTTTCAATGAGATTTATATGGGGGAAAAGTGGTTAAAGGTTGTTAGATTTCTTAAAACTGATAGAGGTAAATCTAACTTTCCAGATAGAGTTCTCAATTGCATTAAAATCTATCACAAATTTGGGTAAACATTTTATCATGAAGTCTAATTCCTTCCTAGAGGGGCTATAAATTTTATTATGCAGAAGAGTTCTGTTGCAAACCAGAAACATTCTTTTTTACTGTAGATCAAAACCTGGGCCTAGATGTCTTGTTATGTGAACATATTCCAACTGCATTCTCCTACCTGTAGATCTCAAAGCTAGGGAATGTTAATGGGCCAGAAGAATAAACATACTTATTGGTAATCTGTGCACTTAAAGGCATGAACTGTTAACTAAGAATCAGGTTGAGGTTGAAGCCAAAAAATAAAAGTATTTGTCTAATGCTTTACAAAGCAATTTTTTATCCATTATCAGTAGAATTTTTCACAGCCCTGTGAACTACTAAATATTGTCATTATCTTAGTTTTATACTGAATGGTCTGGGATTAGGATTCAAGTCAATTTACTACAAATCTTGTAGCTTAAAAAAAAATTCCCGGTGTGTACCTTTGCTTCTTCCCGATCAATTTCTCAGTGTCTCAATATATAGAAATACAAAGACTATTAGAGTAATCTAAAATATTTCTTCTAAAACAGAAGGGAAGTCCCTTAGAACAGTGTTTGTCTTCCTTGCCTGGGTAGTAAATGACCTAAAACAATAACAACAATAGATTCCCAGGCTCCACTTTACACATATTGAAGCAGAATTTTCAGAGTGTAACCTTCTGTGCACCTATATGTTCAAAGCATCGAGGTTACTCTGCTCAGTCAGATTTGGAAAATATTACCTTTAAAGCATTTAAGACTCTTTGTAGGATGACAAATTAAATTAAAATCATTATTATTTTTATAAGATAGCAGCTATCTGACAATACCTTTAAAAACAGGCAACTTTCGCCCTGGCCGGTTTGGCTCAGTGGTTGGAGCATCAGCCTGTGGTCCAGAGAGACCCAGGTTCGGTTCCTGCTAAGGGCATGTACCTCAATTGCAGTTTGTCCCCAGCCCTGGTTGGGTCGTGCGGGTGGCAGCCACTCGATGTGTCCCTTTCACATCAATGTTTCTCTCTCTCTCCCACTCTGTCTGAACAAAAAATGAAAAAATGTCCTCAGGTTAGGTTAAAAAAATAAAAACAGGTAACTTTCAAGGGTATTCTAACTTGGTGGGAGAAGCTCCAGGGTAATGGCAAGTGACAGGATCTTGAACAACCAGAAGGCATTACCCAGAGTGGAAGTGCTGAAAGAGAGGAGCTATCACAAGGATGAAGATATGAAATCAGCATTTAAAAATCACTTCTTCATAAAAATGCAGATGTCATATCATGTCATAACTATATGAAAAAAAATGCAGTTTTCCCCAACCTGTTTGAAAATAAACATAACAATTCAATGCAAAGCTGTAAAAAAATTCAAGGTCAGCTTTTTATATAAATTTTCATTGGTAATCAAGGATCCAGTCCTCTTAAAGGGAGAAGGGTTTAGTAACCAGTCTGATTCATTTATAGAATGTGTAGTCTATGGCCATACCACCCTGAACACGCCCAATCTCATCATTTATAGACTGTGGCTTAAGTGAACCTCATTCATATTATGTCAAAACAATTTGTTCACATCTTATGCCCCTTATATGTAGTTGTGGAAGGAAGAATTCTCAAAAGTTTAAGGAATTTGCCCTGGCCAGTTTGGCTCAGCGGTTGGAGCGTCAGCCTGCGGTCTAGAGAGACCCGGGTTCGGTTCCCGGTAAGGGCACGGACCTCGGTTGCAGTTTGTCCCCGGCCCTGGTTGGTCGTGCAGGTGGCAACCACTCGATGTATCCCTTTCATATCGATGTTTCGCTCTCTCCCACTCTCTCCCTCCCACTCTATCTGAACAAAAAATGGAAAAATGTCCTCGGGTGAGGATAAAAAATAAAAAAATAAAATAAAAGTTTAAGGAATTTCAAATATTATCTCTTAAGGCTGAGGAGGTTGGAGCATTTTTATATCTCTTGATAGACCAAGAGCCCATAATTCCCGTCTTAACACAGAGTAGACTTTCAGAAACATAGTGTCCTGATATATAGTGACTTTTGAATTCCAACCCTCAGTCTTTGACCTGTTCTACAATCTGACATGTTGATAAAAATAACCCACTTATCTTACATATATTAATACAGCTGGTTGTTCACTTTCTAATATTATGTTTGTTACTAGCTATTACTCTGCTTTCAAATTTTGCCTGAGATCCATCTTATTAACAGAGAATACATTGTAAATCGGTTTCACCAAACTAACAGATAATTATATGTAAACAGTCATTTTAAAAATGTATATCCTACCTTGTTCCAGGAACGATTTAACATGGTTTAATAAAACATAATTGCATAAATTAGAAATTAACTATGAGAACTTAAAGTGGAACCAAGAAAAGCACTTTGAGAACTAGCTCTTCAGTGTTCATAGATTTACCTTTTCAATGCCTTTTACTAAAAAAGTAGTAGTACCCTTTCTTTAAAATTAATGATTAAGGTCTAAGATCTAATTCTATGTTTGCCAAAAATGAATCCTCACATGTCTATTAAAGAGGGAGCCACTATTTTTATAAAATTTCTCTTCTGCTTTTGTAGTTTCAAAACTTCCTCATTAATGTATTATGTGGAATTAATCAGAGGCCAGTATAATAGCCATATACTACTTTGTTTTTGTATATAGGAAAAAACTAAAATTGTATGAGTGAAACTGTACCTGCTCAATCAGTAAAAAGTTTTATTTATGTTATTATTATTTTTTTTTAATAATAGCTGTTTTAAAGTCACTTAAGTATGCTCTTTTTCTTGATATTTATAACAGTTTGAATAGTAAATCCCATGGTAAAGTTCTGGCATTGGCTGATTTTGTGCTATATTAGTTATATCTAAAGCATATATATGCCTTTATTTTAAAGAGGCCTGGATTTAGGATTCTTTTTTTTTTCATTAGAAAAAGGAATTTCTTAAATGAAAAAGTCCTGACTCAAAGGATTTATAACTGGTACCAGTTTGGCCAAGATTGTTAGTTATTCATTGGTTGTTACATTTGGAAATAATTCATGCCTTTCCTTCATGATGTTTGTTTGTTAAGAAATCCTTTTTAAAGTTTTAATGTGAAATTCTAACTTAAACTGATCAGTTGGAACTACTCCAGTTCAAGTAAGGGGCAGCTGGGGTCTAAGTATTGCCTACTCAGCCTTCCTACTCTTCTGTCCCTCATCAACTCTGAGATGTTGTCAAGGAGCATCTTAAGGCATCCCAGAACACGTTGCCTAAGGAATTTTTTTCCCTAATGTCCATTAATCTCTTTTCTGGAGAGTGTCAGAGGCTGAGGGAACCTGAAAAATCAAATAAATGCATTCTGCTACTTGCTAACTGCTTGATGAAGATTTGGTGGAAGTATTTGAACCTTTAAAAAAAAAAATTTAATGTCAGTAGGCATTAAAATTCATCTTTTTCCTATGCCATATTGTGATGGTTCAGAGTACAGATCACCTAGGTCTATCTGTATGTATGTAGCTATTATGCTCAGGGTACGAGGGTCATCCTCAAGTAACAAGCACTAACAATTACAACTCTCCCTCTCCTGCTTTTTTGATGTCTTTCTGCACTCCTGACTTTTTATAGGACAAAGAACTTTGAGTCTGGTAAGGCCTATAAGACAACATGGGGAGATGGCGGAGACAACTCTTCTAGCAATGTAGTATCTAAGCAGCCAGGCCGAGTGACAAACGGTCAGCCTCAGCAAGCAACCACAGGAGCAGCCAGTGGTGGATACATTAAACGGTATGCCATCTCTTCCCAATATTTTTACCCCTTTCTTAACTGAATGGCTCATTGAGGAAGATGGGTGAAGTTATACATGAATCCTAACTAAAAAGTTAGAAATAGCATTTATTCCAATTTTTAAATGCATTTTAAATCTACCTTCTGACAAGATGTTGACTTTGGTTATTGACCTTCAATGATGGGTTTTTATGTTTTTCAGTACTTTCTAAATTACTGAAGTAAGCTGTAAATAGGAAAATGTGTTTTAAAATGTATCCTCGCCCTGGCCAGTGCATCTCAATGGTTAGAGCATCAGTCTGCATACCTAAGGGTTGTGGGTTTGATTCCCAATCAAGAGCCCATACCTGGGTTGCAGGTTCGATCCCTGGCCCCAGTCAGGGCGTATGCAGGAGGCAACCAATCCATGTGTCTCTCTCACACTGATGTTTCTCTCCCCTCTCTCTCTGTCTCCCCCTCCCTTTCTTCCATTCTCTCTAAAAATCAATGGAAAAAATATCCTCAGGTGAGGATTAACTAAAAAAAAAGTATCCTCTATAGTGGGGGTTGGCCAGATGCCTATAAGAATAGCTACAGCCTCAGCAATTTGGCTCAGCAGTTAGAGCATCAGCTGTAGACTGAAAGGTCACAAGTTTGATTCCTGGTCAAGAGAACGTACCTGGATTGCAGGTTTGATCCTCGGCCCTTGTTGCAGTCAAGCAGGAGGCAACCAATCAATGTGTCTCTTGCGTCAATGCCCCCCCCCCCAGTCTCTCTGAAAATCAGTGGAGCCCAGCTGGTGTGGCTCAGTGGTTGAATGTTGATCCATGCACCAAGAGGTCACTGGTTCAATTCCCAGTCAGGGCACGTGCCTAGGTTGTGGGCCCGATCCCAGTGGGGGGCATGCAAGAGGTGGCCAGTCAATGTTTTCTTTCATCGATGTTTCTATCTCTCGCTCACTCTTTCTCTCTTTCTAAAATCAATAAAGAAAAAAATATCAGTGGAAAAATATCTTCAGATGAAGATTAACAACAAAAAATAATAGTAGCTGTAAAGAGTCAGATAATATTTCAGACTTTGCAGGCCATATAGTCTCTGTCACAACTACTCAACTTTGTTGTTGTAGGAAGGTTTGTTAAAACACAGATTGCTGGGATCTAATTCCATTCTGTTTTAATAGATCTGGAATGGAGTGTCAGTGGATCTGGAACGGAGTGTGAGAATTGGCATGTTTTGTGTCTAACAAGTTCCCAGGTGATGCTGGGAATCACACTTTGAGAACTATTGTTCTAGAGTTATTATTTAATCATCTTTTACATGGCTTTAAGTCTTTGAATTTTTGCTATAGACTGTTTCTAATGGTAATATCCATTCCCTTGGGCCTAACACTTGCTTAGCATCCTTTTGGTTACTTATTTTTGTACAAACTAAATCCAGACTTAGTCCATTTAGAATTCACCAAAAAATATTGAATTAACTATCTTTTTGTGATAGTATAACAAATGATGCGAGAGAAGATGAAATGGAAGAGAACCTCACTCAAGTGGGAAGTATTCTAGGAAATCTAAAAAACATGGCCCTGGACATGGGGAATGAGATTGAGGCTCAAAATCGACAAATAGACCGGATCACAGAAAAGGTAAAAGCTTCTTAGTGCCATAGGAAAATGAGACATCTAATACAGTGTTTTAGTAATGGGTATCTGTGCTCGTTACTTTGGAGGAGAACAGCAGGATAAGATCCTGTCCTCACTGGTGTTAGGGTTTTGCTGAGGCGGCCAGTTCTAACACACTGAGAAACAATAGCTAAGTTCTTCTTTTGCTCATAGCATTTGGTTCATTTTGAAACCAAGAACTTGGATTGACATTGTATTATTTAAAATTTTACACATGAAGCTTAGAGAGTCTAACCTTCGTGTGAGCTGCCCTTTTTTTTTTTTTCTTCTCCCTGAATGAGCGAAGCTTTTGGAGTTTTATTGTGTTAAATAACAAATTAATAAGTTCCTGAATCCTCATAAGTCAGTAAGGTAAAAGTCAGTTCTGCAGAATGGTTCTTGTGGAATGGACACACAAAATAGAGTCCTGGGAGTAATGAAAAAAGGTATTGCTGGGTTTTTTTTTGTTTTTTTTTTACTTTGTGTAATATAAGACACTGAAAGTGAAATTTTAATTCATACATTGATGTGGATGTGGTAATACATCTGTTCCAAAGATCTTAGGGAAGGTTATTTCAGTCTCTCTGTGTTTGACCTAGGATCGCTCCAGGTGGGATTCTGTGATTTAGTTCAAAAACTTTCACATGGTCCAGATCTGTAGCAGAGGAGAACGTTCTTATATTTCATTGCATCTAAATGCCATTGATTATTGTCTCAGTTTCAGACCTGTTAAACTGTGAAAAAATATTGCAGAACTCATGAAATACTGGCAAGTTATGTTATACCTTTGTTATATTGATACACCCAAGTTTTCCCAAATGAATTTGATACTCTGTAAGTTCTTGCCCAAAATGAATTTTGTGATGTGACTCCAACTGTTTCCTGAATTTTCTTAGTGTATAAATTACTCCAGGTATATGAATTTAACCTTTATTAGGTCGACTTACCTTGTGAAATAATGCTGATGTCTCTCTCTTTTTTTCAGGCTGACACCAACAAAGATCGTATTGATATTGCCAATGCCAGAGCAAAGAAACTCATTGACAGCTAAAGTACTGCTGTACTTCTTTACCATTTACTCTCTTATCTAGCTCTTCCTTCAGTCATTGCCTTTTCAGAATTTGAAATTTTGGTTCCACGCTCTTCTACTCAGGAGATAATGTGGAGGAGGGGCTAGGAGTGACAGCCCCCATTTTTTTCCTTTTTCCCTTGAGGGTAGACTGATGCTTGACCTTCCTTCTAGTATTTTCTTTCTCAGCTTATACTCTTAGCTTGGTTTTTATACATCATATGTTGCATTGTTTTTCACCCTCCTCATTTACTGTAGCAGGTTCTTCTGCTTTCAAGATTTGGAAGCATTGCCAAAGACAGCCATGAAAAAGGAAGTTGGAAGCAGGGGTGGGGGAGTACAAGAAGGAGAAATAAGAGATAAGAGGTTGTTACCTCAGTAAAACCTTCAGGTCACAAAGCAAAAAGTTGCATAGCCACAGTAAATATCTAATTGGGTTTAGATTTTAAGTTGCAGTTATTGCCAATTTAGGCTAATACTTGGTTTTGGAGCTTTTATATATAATATTTTTGTTATACATCACAACTTTGCAACCTCTGCTTCAAAAAAGAATAGAATGAGTTTTCTTAACGTGAGCTTAATTTGTGAACTCTTGATGATTCATATATGTACATAGATTCTGTGATCACATTTCATATTGCACCATACAGGAACACTTTGTACAAATGAATGGCTTTTTATTTTCATATTATTAGTATCATGGTTCCAATTCAAGCCTATTAACCTCATAAATTTGTCATTAGTCTTTGAAGAAAAATATGTAAATATGTATGTGTAACATGAGAATTTCTGTCTAAAGCAGGGCTTAACATTTTTTTTTTTTGAAAGTTTGACAAACTAAATTACGTGATTTCAGATTTACCTCAATGCCAAGAATTATGTTTAGATAGGAAAAAATAAACTTGTTTGATCTCAGGTAGAAAAATTGTTAGATTACTTTGAGTTTTGTGTAGATTCAGACTTTTAAAAAGCTAGAATTCTGTTTAACTAAAAGTGATTTGGAAAATTATGCTTTGGTTTGATTATTGATTATTGTATTATCCTTCTTTTAGCCTTGTGTATTGAACTATGTTCAGAATCATGTTTAGCTCCTGACAGTGTTATAAAAATCTGATTGGTATTTGTCACCTTTATTTAAAAGCTAGCACCTGCACACATCAAAGCCATTAATGTGGATTGGTTTGACCAATAACCACTGCTTGATCCTTACAATTAAATTTTGTAACTAATGGTATTGTTCTTTGAAATAGGTGTGTTTCTATGACTGCCTTTTTTTTTCCCCTTGGCGGAGGGGACAACCAATTCATAAGCTCTTATCTAACAAATTGAGTAAAAGAAAGGTCCATAAATCAAGAAGCACTCTAACAGAAAGCTACATTTAGGTATCTTTCCCATTTGTATTAGAATTACTGACAGGACTTTCTAAGATTTGTCATGAGGTTCATTTTAATCATTACTAGTCTTTTACTCATTTGAGCTTAAATACACTAGTGACTGAAAGGATAGTGTTTATGAGAGAGAATTACAATGTACTTGAAAAGATACAATTAACATGGGAATTTTCAAAGGCTAAAGAGGAAAATATTTAAAGTGAGATTCATTTAGGCCCTCTGTAACAGAAATGCTTCATGCTAAAGAGAGTAGTTTGGCAGGTGATGGTACATGTATAAAGTAAGAAGATATAAAACACTGGGGATTGTGCTATACCTAAATGCCCTTCTAAAAGCATTTAGGAAAAAATTCTTTAACACTATTATGGCTAAAAGAAGTTGTTCTGAGGATACCAATATGTAGTTAGAAGTGTAAGCTTAAGCATCAGATTGTCTGGATTTACCCTGTAGCTCTGCCACTTGCTGGATGAGTGACTATAGGCCCATTTCTGCGCTTCAGTTTCCTTGTCTGTAAATGGGAATGAACAATTCCTACCTCAGAGTTGTTGCAAAGACTTAATTAACATGGTAATGCATGGAAAGCACTTAGAGCAGTGTCCAGCAAATGTAAGAGCTTAATAAATGATAGCTGCTATTCTCTCTCGAGTGGAGGTCTTTTGGGGTGAAGGATCCCTTTGTGAATTTGATGAAAGACAACACAGCCTTTTTCAGCAGAGGAAGAGACACACAAATATGACTCATGCATAAATGGGTCTTGAAAGCCCATCCATGGATCTCAGTTTACAAACTTTCTGGTTGATTCTTGTATGTGTCCTGACTGGAAATTGAACCTGCACCTTTGGAGTATGGGGCTGATGCTCTAACCAACTGAGCTACCCCATCAGGGCACAAACTTTTTTAAAGATTGTGCTGAGAAAGAGGATGAGGCCATAGAAATTGGGCCCATAATACATTAGAAATAGAAGCTGTTGATCTAAAAAGCCTTTTCTGATTTTTCTCCTATATTTTTGGAAATTTGTTTGCATTAAGGTGGTAACTGAAGTGATTAACACAGCTTTGCATTCTGACCATCTGAGTTCAAATTTTGGTTGTCATTTACTAGTTGTGTGACCTTGAGCATACCTATAACTAAGGAGTTAAAAAACAGTATCTCCTACTGAACTTAATTTTTTTTTTTATCCTACCCAAGGACATTTTTCCATTTTTTGTTCAGATAGAGTGGGAGGGAGAGAAAGAGAGAAACATCGACATGAAAGGGACACATCAAGTGGCTGCCACCCGCACAACCCAACCAGGGCCAGGGACAAACTGCAACTGAGATACATGCCTTAGCAGGAACCGAACCCAGGTCTCTCTGGACCGCAGGCCGACGCTCTAACCATTGAGCCAAACTGGCCAGGGCTGAACTTAATTTTTTTAACAGTAAGCCCCCTCTTCAAATTTCTAATCTTACAATGGAAAATGAACTTTATCCCCTATAGTTGTGTCCTTTTTTTTCTTCGATTTTAATTCAGCCTTCAACTCTAGATATTTGTATGTCATGTGTGGATTGTGAATACCCCTTTAACATAAATGTTTACTTCCCAGACATCCTATACTAAATTGTACTTAGAATTAGTTTCTTTACATGCTATTTTCTTTTAAGATTTTAATTGATTTTTAATTGATTTCATTTGATGTGAGAGTGATACATCGATCAGCTGCCTCCTGCATGCCCCCTACTGGGGACTGAGCCGAGCCTGCAACTGGGAATCAAACTGGCAACCTTTCAGTGCATGGTATGATACCCAGCCAACTGAGCCACACTGGCCATGGCAAATAATGGTCACTCTCTTACTAAAAGTCTAAGTTATCCCAGTTACATTCCTAGTCAGATTTATATTTCTCAGATTGATATCCAAGTCCCTTATTTTCTACTCATTTCATTTTTATCCTTTCTAGCTTGGTGTCCTATCAAAGCCTTCCATTTCTGTATAACTTGCTAAATTCTATTTTAATACCTTACAGATGAAATCAATGGCACCGTTTATTAAATGCTTACTCTGTCAAAAAGGGCTAAATGCCTTTTTATGTATCTTTTCACCATATCCTCCTAACATACCTGAGAGGTAAAAGGTATTAGCCATATTACAGATAAATAAATTGCTCTAATTCATAAAGCTAGAAAATGAAAGACTGGATTCATCCAGTATCTTTCTCACTCCAAGGCCTATGATCTTACTCAGTATTCTATACTGACTTCCACCCAGGCTCTAAAAGAATATAGGTGACTTAGGGCTGGTGGCCACTAGAATGTGGGTCTCCAGACCACAAGTCAACCTACTTTGTTGGTTCATACTTAAGTCTAAATACTGTGTACTATAGCTTTGGGCTTATTACTTTACATAGTTCCTGCCCTCCAGTCGTTCAGTCTGACAAGAAACAGATGGATACAGAATGTGAGAAGTGTCATTGTGACAGATGGAAGACCAGTTAATTCTGCTTAGATTTAGAAAGGGGCTTAGACATAGGGAAGGAGCAAGTTAGTAAGAGGGCATTTCTGAATAAGCAAACAATGTAAACGCAGTTAAAGGAGAGAGATATTGCACTATGGGTTAACGGAGCAGAATAATTTGGTATGACTAGGCAGGCAAATGAGAGTGAAGAAAGGGTATCTGAAAATAAGGCTGGGTCCCAGTTGTGAAAGGCAGTAGTCACTGATTGTCATAGGGGTGGGGATTTTTACAACTCCAATTAGTAATTAAATAGCTATGGACATTTAAGTTTAATTTATAAGTTCTGATTTATTCAATAATAAATACTAATAAAATATTTAGAGAAATGTTAATTGTTCAGTCAGTAGATCAATAAGATTAAGCATTAAAGTTTATTTTTTAAAAAATGATAGGCTATTCCTCCCCAAAATGAGAAACAGAAAATAACATGGGAAAAAGAATACCCAGACCAAATTTAAGGTCAGAGAGACTTCCTCATATAAATACTAGGCTCTTATGATCTCTTGACATAAAGGTAAAACTAGGTTTGTAAAACAAGAACTAACAATGCATGGTAAATAATACCCCCTTGGCCAAGACATAGCTTTGGAGAATGACCAGAGTCGTAGCTTTCTAAATATTCATGTCAGTAACAATTTGAAACCATCTACCTTTGTACCTTCAGTTTCTCTTAATAAGCATGGTTCTGCTACCACAAAATGTTTATCATTCACATGAAGGCATTGCAGTACTCATGCAACCTGAACATGAAACGTTTCTCCCTAATCAGTTTACTTTCAAACAAAAGGCCATTTACAAGTTCAAGTTTTCCTGTCTTTTTTTAAAGGGTGAACCTTTCTTCCAGCCAAAAAGTTCATTAAAAATTGATTAAGGTTCTTTAGTACATTCTCTCATTCAAAGAATAAACTTGATAAACATAGGTTATTTTCAAATACTGTAGTAGCTTTTTGATACATAATCTGATTAGTAGAATTATAAATACAAAAAAGGAGAAAAGGGTTACCAGAAACAAGACATTATTTCTAAGAAAGCTTCAGGAAAATCTTGATTATTAAAACCCCTTATATCTTACAAGTTTTGCATATATGGTTTTAGCTCTTCAGAGCCCTCTTCCAATAAGGCACCTGCAATAGTAAAGAATTTGCTACTGCAGCCTTGGAGAACATCTCTTAGTGTTGTATTGATGCTTCTTTTCAAAGTACACTTTTAATCAAGAAAGTCATGTATTTATGTACATCCTAAATTCCAAGTATAAATATTATAATTGAACTGATGGACTGGGATAAAACAGTTCCTTAGATTAACCACAGCAGCCTCTCATAAGTTATTTGAATTTCATAAAAATGTGAAATGTTAACACAGAGGTGGGATGGCAGCTGATTTTATGAACGCTCACTCATTGAAACTAAACATGACATTTCAAGCTGTGGTGTGGAGCTCTTCTATTATCAGACACCATCCCCTCACTGTATAAATAGCAACTAGCTACTGGTTTCTTAAAACCAAACCTAATGATGATTTTGAAGATCAACCACGTCCATTGCCCTATTCGTGATTCAAACAGAGAATTCCTGTCAAGTGAAGTAGAATGTCCTGGAGTATCAGCTCCTTACTGCAGATATCCTTGACAACAACAGAAGCCTTTGATTCAGCCAGATTGCAACAGGTTCCAAATCAATGTCCTATAAGGATTCCCGTGCTTTTGGAGAACATCATGCAAACTTCTTCTTGGTGGCCGTGAACCTCTCCATGTACTAAAAATCATGAAAGAAGAATATATGTGCCATTTTGGCATGAGCAAATATTACCATTTTGTTACTTGGGTTTTCATATGATTTTTTTTCATTTACGTTTTTATTGGATATGGTCCCTCACTTCCTCAAAAATTTACCTATTCTAAATGCAAATCTAAAGCACATAGTTTTGGGGTCTTTTAAATTTTTCTTTAATATTTTAATAGGAAACCTATCAAAAGACAAAGATACTTTACAGTATACTATCTAGAGAAAAAATCATCTTGGTACAATACAAGAATGTATACCATTACATCTTGGTACAGAATTTGGCTGATTCTTAGAACTCACCTCCAAAATAGGGAACAAATCTTGTTGACAAATAGGATTATACATTCAGCCTGTGGCTATAAACATTCATGTGGGTTACTTCACCATTCTCTGGAGCAGTGACTAGATATGCAGAAGTACATGAATACATACCTTATCATAACCTTCTAGTTCTCGAAGTTTCTTTATTTCAAAAAGGTTGCCTTCCACAGCAAGCAGACAGATCTGGGAATCACTGAGGATGCTCTGTGGAAGCATGCTGAGCTCAAGGCAGTTCTCTTCTAGGCGAAGAACTTTAAGGCGAGGACAGGAGGATATCTTTACTGAGATCTGAGATATCTATTGAACAACAAAAAAGAATAATAGGAAAAGGCATAAGCATTGTAATGTTTACTTTTTACTAAATTAAAACAAAAAAGCCTTTACTTGACTATTTGTCCTAGTTCTCCTTTTACCGCCTCCATTTTCTCACTACCTACTCATTCCAGAAGCCTCTGTCATCTAGCTTCTGTTACTCCTCCACTTTTTTGGGAAAAAAACAAAAACAAAAAAACCTTGCTTTTTGAAGGTCACCACTGGCTTTTGGAAATAAAGTTTTCTGATAATAAGAGCACTATTTATTATTGAAAACTTGAGAATCAAACTATAAAATTTAAAGACACGTTATCTGCAATCTACCACCATAAACATTTTGATACATTCACTGCCAGTCTTTTATGTGTATAAGTGTTTACACTACCTATCCCTTCCTTGAAACTCTCTATTGCATCTAAATACTGGGTATTTCTTTCTAGCTTTTGAATTATTCCTGATTTTTTGGCTTCCCTTCTTATTCCTATGGACATTTTTCAAGTAAAAGTCCCTAATACAGTACTTAATATTTTATCTTCTTTCTAAACTTTCTCCTAGAAAGCTCATCCGTTCTTAAAGCCATCATTTCTGTTAAGACCTCAAAATCTGTATCTATATATTTTTTATCCTCACCCAGGACATATTTCCATTTTTTGTTCAGACAGAGTGGGAGGGGGAGAGAGAGAGAGAGAGAAAGAAACATCGATGTGATGTGAAACACGACCCAACCAGGGCCGGGGACAAACTGCACCCAAGGTACGTGCCCTTAGCAGGAGCCGAACCCAGACCTCTCTGGATTGCAGGCCAGTGCTCTAACCTCTGAGGCAAACTGGCCAGGGCTATATCTATATTTAAACCTCTCACCTCTATTCCACTGTCTCCAATTCCTCAAATTAAATACCAAGCAATTAACTTTATTTTTTAAGTATATTTTTATTGATTTTAGAGAGAGAGAAAGAAAGAAACATCGATTGGCTGCCTCCTGCACAACCCCTACTGGGGATCAAGCTCACAACCAGGGCATGTGCCCTGACTAGGAATCAACCCGGCAACTTCTCAGTCCATGGGACAACGTCCAACCAACTGAGCCATATGGACCAAGGCCCAAGCGTTATCTTTAATTCATTCACTGAATCTCTTTTGCCCATTAAATGCTCCAAGTCACCAAATTATATTTACTCTGCCGGTATCATCTCAGACTATCATCTGGGAACTTTTTAGAAATACAAACCCTCAAACCCCACCCCAGACCTACTGAATCAGAAATATTGAGGGTGGGGCCCAGTGATCTCTTTGAACAAGCTCTCCTGGTTACTTTGATGCACACTAAACGCTGAGAACCATTGATAAAGGTATGAGCATAAGTGAATGCGCAGTGAGTGCTCAACTAATACTTGTTGCTTAACAATTTTTTCAAATCCCCCCCCTCCCCAAATCGTCAACATTTTTTTTTTTCCAGAAAGCTCAAGAATATTCCTTTAAGGCCCTGGCAGGTTTGGCTCAGCAGTCAGAGGGTCAGCCCGCGGAACAGAGAGTCCCAGGTTCGGTTTCCGCTAAGGGCATGTTCCTCGGTTGCAGTTTGTCCCCGGCTCCAGTTGGGGTTGTGTGGGTGGCAACCACTAAATATGTCTTTCTCACATTGATGTTTCTCTCTCTCTCTTCCCCCCTCTCTCCCTCCCAGTCTGTCTGAAGATAAATGCAAAAATGCCCTCGGGTGAGGATTAAAAAAAAAGAATATTCACTTAAGGAAAAAAGAAAGCTAAAATCTTCAAAGACAGACAATTTCATAAATAATTTAAGGTCATGTCAATTTAGAATAGTTTTGTCCCAATAAAACTGCAAGGATTGGAATGTCCTATATTTGTGCTGTCTGATACACTAGCTATTTGTCACATGTGGTTTTGAGCAGTTAACATGGCTTGTGACTACTGAGGAACTGAATTTTTAAATGAATGTTTATAGCCACATGTGGCCAGTGGCTACTGTAAAGGACTGTAGATCTAGAAGCATAGACACTAGATGATGTTTTTTTTTAATCCTCACCTAAGGACATTTTTCTCTATTTTGTTCAGATAGAGTGGGAGGGGGAGAGAGAAAGAGAAACATGGACGTGAAAGGGATACATCGAGTGGTTGCCACCCGGACAACCCAACCAGTGCTGGGGACAAACTGCAACTAAGGTACATGCCCTTAACGGGAACCGAACCCGGGTCTCTCTGAACCGCAGGCCGACGCTCTAACCACTGAGCCAAACCAGCTAGGGCTAGGCTCATTATGTTTAATGTTTTACTATCTGTGCTTTTATGTCTAAACCAAAGATTGTTTCTCCATTCATACATAATAACCAAAGAGCTTCCGAAGTAATGGAAACAAATTTCAAATATTACAATCAAAGCTATCTAACAATGAAATGAGCTATCTCCAAAAAGCCTATCACTGATGCTTTCTTAGCAAAAGCAGGTGTCTGACTCTGAGACATAAGTGTAAGCTTCTTTTCCACTCTATCTTCCTGACATACATAGCTCCTTGCTAGATGACTAGACATGTTTGAGAAGGATCTGAAGAACTCTTCAAGATTTGTGAGATAGTAGTTTAACTTTTGAAGTTAGCACCCTATTAACCATACCACCCTCCAAAAAATACCCACACACAAAAAAAAAACCCGTGTCTAAACTAACTACACAGGACTTTGGGCTTTGAAATTAATCCAGCCCACAGAATATACCTCTCACCAAGCTTCTGATGCCCAGCTCCATGATTATAGAGAAAAACTGGTTATTCAGAAGACAAAATATAGATATTAGAAAAAACACAAAACCCTTAAGTTCTAGACCTGGTTCTGGTTGAGGTTGAGTTCGATGACCTGCAACTCCCCCACTATGTCAGGCACACTCCGAATCTGGTTTTTGGAAAGATCCACCACATCCAGGTGCCGCAGGCTACAAAGTTGGGGTGGTAGTGCTCGCAGCTGGTTCCCAGAGAGGCTCAGGGTCTTGAGGGCAGACAGCTGTCCAAAGGTAGATGGCAGCTCTCTCAAGTGATTGTTGTTTAGGCTTAGCGTCTCTAGTTTTTTCAGATTGCATAACTCATCAGGAAGAACAGCTGGCAAAGACAGAAACCGTAGAAATCTGAATCTGGTAACAGCTGAAAAACACCTTTGATGAAGTTTATAAAAACTATATGGCAGCCCTGGCCGGTTTGGCTCAGCGGTTGGAGCGTCGGCCTGCAGTACAGAGAGACCCAGGTTCGGTTCCGCTAAGGGCACGTACCTCGGTTGCAGTTTGTCCCCGGCCCTGGTTGGTCGTGCGGGTGGCAGCCACTCGATGTGTCCCTTTCATG